TCCCTCTGGGATTATTAAAGTATTTCTGATTCTGATTACAACTGTAATAAACAAAAATAGCTTAACAGTCTTAAGTGCTGGAACAAATTGATGGTGTTTCCTGTTTTAGTAGCTACGTTCCTTCTACATAGTTTGCACAGAGTATTACTCTTTTGTTCGTCCAACTTCAAATAGCCAAAGTTCCTCCCATCAGCCTTAATTTCTACGATGTCGTCCTTCTCCTGGGCAGCGTTTTCTCCTGATTCCTGTTCAGAGTTCTCGATCGTTTTTAAAGTCTTAGAAGGTTTTACGGTTTGGAGACGTTATTTGCTGTAAACTTCACGGCTAGCTGCTATTAGCTTCTACGCGCGGCGCCGTTTAGATATGATTGGGCGTTCTGTATAGTCTGTGAAAACTTTTAGGATTTTTTTTAAGGCGTCAGCTTATTGAAGATCTCATTTAAAATCGTGGAGAAATTTTACATTGAATAAAATTGAAATTGAAATTGCTGTAGCTCCTGTTCCCCCATTTAGGGATGTCTGGCTGAGCATGGTGGGAACTGGCTCTCTGTTTCCACTCTGCTCTCCTCCAGCCTCTGAATGCTGGTTCTGTCAGATGATGCTTTTATTAGAGCAGAGTGGCAGGCTGAAATGCCCTGGTTGGGGGTTTCCATTAGCACCCGCTCAGCTCTGCTCACCTCGACTGGGTTTGGGTGGTTTTCCATCACAGGAAGACAGGCAAAGCACACCTGTAACTGTTAGCCGCTAACGGACATGCAGAAAAACGGAGTAAAGCAGCAGCTCCGAGTGGAAAACCCCCATAACTGACGTCTGACACGCTGTGTGAACGGGCTGATTCCTCCTTTTAATTGGGCTTCTCCAAATGATCATGCTGACATTGATTGTTTAAGTCCCGCTTTGGAGGAACTGACTCGCTAAGTGGAGCAGCTGTCTGGAGGACCACAGGTCAGGTCTTCCCAGGGACTCAGACTCAATCTGCATGCATTATGTAAAGGAGCTACACAGAAACGCAGGAAGTGACCAGCGTTTTCCAGAAATTGAACCTCCTCTGAGGGAGTGTTTGTGTTCATTCATACTTTTGGATTGTTGTCCTGTAAGCTTTACCACGCTACCTATTTCCTTATACTGGTTATTGGTACAAACGATCATCTTTATCATAGATTAAAGTATTTGTGTTTTATTTTTCCACATGGACATCCACATGGTCCTCAGTGCTTTCTGTAACGAGCAGCGTTCTTAGCTCAACGCCTGTCTTTTAGGGATTGTCAAAAGTATCAATACTCAAAAAATTATAGCTACTAAAACGTTGTGTCCGGATACAATACTCATTTTCAGGGCAGCGCTGACCCTTGTCTGCTGCGCCCCTTCTCTCTGATTTATTTATTTATTGATTTACGTTGTTTCATGATCATTAACGTGACGTTAGCCTTGAATTGCTAGCTGCGGCTAATGGCTAATAATAACACGCCAACATTAATGCGGGCCACCGGCCACCATAACATCAGTAATAATCAGTAAGTTTCAAAACCAAAGCCACTAACCTGTCAAAATTCAGTTAAACTTTGGGGTCTTTGTTTATATCCTTGTGGTATCGAAAATGCTATCAAGTATGGAATATTTTCCTGAGTATCGGTATTGAGTTGAAAAGACCCTACTGTCTTTAGTTAGCTGTTCCCTAGTGATCTGCTGCTCTCTGAGCTGTGGGGGACCAGGGATGAGGCCTGAATGTGTGGAAGCAGGCTTCTCCTCCCATCCAAAAGGCTGCTTCAGTTCGGATCATTCTGATGTTGTCCATGTAGAGGAGTTTGCTCGTCGGTTCTCTCTGAGACGATGTGGACCAGCAGGACGGACCGAGGCTGAGCGTTTGTCTCTGTGTCTGTGCAGGTTCCCGTGGTGCAGAGCTCCGGGTCCTCTGCCCAGCCTCCCACCATGCACGGCTCTCCCGGCCTGGGGAAGCTGCCCGTGAGGCCCGGCCTGCACAACCCCGAGTCCCAGAGCCTCCGCAATGCACAGGTAGGTTCGCTTTTCCAGGTGTGAGGACCAGCTTCACCGTCTCACCGTCCCAGACGTAGGGGTGTCAAAAGTATCGATACTCAAAAAAGTTGTCAAAAGTATTGTATGTTGTATCCGGATACGATACTCATTTTCAAAAGTATCGATACCCCCCCTTCTCTCTGATTTATTTATTTACGTTGTTTATGATCATTAACAAGACGTTAGCCTTGAATTGCTAGCTGCGGCTAATGGCTAATAATAACACGCCAACATTAATCAAATACGTCTGGCTTCAAACTCCGCCCACATCCAAGTCGGCCATTTTGATTACGTCACCAATCGGAAGATTCCAGGCAAGAAAATCGTAATTGCCTCATGGCAATATAGATATTAATTTAAAAATGGTGAAATTAATCTTTCAAACACTTAATTATACTCTATACATATTATTATGTTAAAATAGTGTAGGTACAAATAGGTTTGTACAATAAGTCCAAACAAGTTTAACCAAAAAGTATTTATTTCTCACATCTCTAAAGGGTGGAGGGTTAGGGTTAGGGTTAGGGTCAGGGTTAGGGTTAGGGTCAGGGTTAGGGTTAGGGTTAGGGTCAGGGT